GGCAGGCAGCAGAACCACTGAGCTAAATCTCCGGTGAGAAGGAGTATTTTAAATGATTCTGTGATATCTTCTTTGTTGGCTTATTGGCTGTGCCTTATTCTTATTTTAGGATGTGAATTTTTGTTTTAAAAGTGACATTAAATTGAGCCTTCCAGTTCACATAATGAAGATCAAACCACCTAAACCAATCACTGGTAAGTATGATTTAGCTAATATTCTTTTTCCCTTTGGCATTGATTTCGCCATTTTTTTCTTCTTAACTTTCCTCACAATTTCCTATTTTTCTGTTCATTAGCAGCAATATCTAATTAAGTGCATAGTTATGAAGAGGACTTTTTTTCTCCTTAAATTCTTTTATTGGTACATTTTAGGTATAAAATACATTTACATTTATCATTGGGAACTTGTACCTTTACATGATTTATCTTGGTTCTTATTTTTTCCCCATTCACCTGCCCTCCCTTCAACTCCCCCACCCCTCCCTATTTGCAAAGACTTTGTTTCCATTTTTACCTTTTCTCAAATTTTTTCCTTTCCCTTCTTTCCTTTCCCCAGCCCCTCCCACTTCCCTTACCCCTTTGGACTTTTTTTTTTTTGGACCTTTTTGAAGAGGACATTTTTTAAGTCTCATAATCTCTGGGATCTAAAAACAAAAAAAAGTGGGCTGGGGATTTAGCTCAGTGGTTTCACCAACTGCTGCGCAAGTGCAAAGACCCAAGTTCAATCCCCAGTACCAAAAAAAACAAAAACAAAAACAAAAAAAAGCAGGGCCAGGGATTTAGCTCAGTGGCACAGCACCTGCCTTGCAAGCGCAAGGTCCTAAGTTCGATTCCTGGCACCACAAAAAAAAAAAAAGCAAATATTACAGAGATACAGTTAACAGAATCAGAATGTCAGGAAAGGGAGACATCACTTCTGATTGCTGGGTGGAATCCATTCATACACTCCTGAGTAATTCATTCATCAGTGTTTGCCAAGTGCCCGTTGTGCACCAAGGGAGACCCATCTCCTTGAAACTGACGGTGTCCAGGGGAGAATGGAAGGAAGCCACCATAGTAGGTGTGATGCATAAGTACAGTAACCAGGAATGTCTGGGATCAGGCAAACAGAGTAGGAGTAGCCAACTGCCCTGGGAGCAGGCTGAGGCTTTCTGAGAGGAAGAGACATGTGGGAAGAGTTCTGAAGGGTAAGTGAGGGCTGATTAAGAGGAGCAGAGATCGAGTCATTACAGGCACGGAAAACAGTGCATCCTCTCAACACTCACAAGTGGTCTCAAGACACCTACAGGGATGCTCATTGTGGCATCATTTATGGAGGAAACAGACTGTAAGATCAAATCTGCTACACTTATACAAAAGAATACTCTGCAACCATTAAAAAACAAGGAGGGAGGCCAGGCGTGGTGGCACATGCCTGTAATCCCAGTTACTTGAGTGACTGAGGCAGGAGGACTGCAAGTTTGAACTCAGCCTGTGAAATTTAGTGAGACCCTCTCTCGAAACAAAAATGTATATCAGTGGTACAGCAAGCTAACAAACAAATGAAAAAGAGGGGGAATATGACAGACCAAGCATAGCCAGTTCACTTTTCTAAAAGAACATGGTGATGGGCTGGGGATTTAGCTCAGTGGTTCCGTCGCTTGCCTTGCAAGCGCAAGGACCCGAGTTCGATCCCTAGTACCAAAAAAAAAAA